CATAAAATGTACAGTCAATTCACTTTGCAGTATATTCTGTGAAGCGCTTAGAGATGTCTCTGCCGCCTTCAACACTGTCGACCACTCCATCCTCATACATCGCCTCTCCGTTTTTCTCAATCTTCATGGATCTGCCCTTGCCTGTTTCAATTCCAACCGTCACACCGTCACATCTGGCGTCCCCCAGGGCTCTGTCCGTGGCCCTCTCCTCTTTAGTATCTACATGCTCCCCCTTCGTGACATCATCCACAGACATGGGGTCAACTTCCACATGACACCCAACTCTACGTGGATGACACCCAACTCTATTCTTTCTGCCTCCAGCCTCAACTCCAGGACCACTACTGTCCTGACAGACTGTCTGTCGGACATCAAGTCCTGGATGAGGGCAAAATTCCTACAGTTGAATGTGAACAAGACTGAGGCCCTCCTGATTGGCTCCCGCCAGCGCCTCAGCACCTCAGGCTCTGGCAACATCAACCTCCATGGTTGCACACTGCAACTCACCAGCCAGTCAGGAACCTCGGTGTCTTGTTCGACCCTCAACTGTCTTTTCTCCCCCACATTCAAGCCATGACCCGCTCTGCCTTCTCTCACCTCCATAACATTGCCCGACTCCGCCACTACCTCACCCCTCAGGCCGCTGAAACTCTTGTTCATGCCTTCGTCACCTCCAGACTTGTCTATGCAAAGGCTTGTCGGCCTTCCCCACTCCTCCCTCCACAGGCTGCAGATAATCCAGAACTCTGTAGCCCGTGTCCTCTCCGCACCAAACTCCGTGACCCCATCTCTCCCATTCTCGCTCGAGTCCACTGGCTCTCTATCCTTCAGAGGATCCAGTTCAAGATCATGGTCCTCACCTACAAAGCCCTCCATGGCCTCGCCCCACCCTACCTCTGCGACCTCCTAACCCCCTACCAACCTACCCGTTCCCACCGCTCAGTCGGCTCTGGCCTGCTCCACGTCCCCCAACCCACCACCCCCCACCATTGGCGGGAGAGCCTTCAGCCACTCTGCCCCCATCCGCTGGAATTCCATCCCCCAGTCACTCCGCCTCGCCCCCTCCTTAACCTCCTTCAAGTCCCGCCTGAAGACCCTCCTCTTCAACCATGCCATCAGCCACCCCCCTTCCCGTCCCCCCCAACCCCAGCTCGGGTCTGAAATGCTGTACTCTGTCCAATGCCTTGGGACGTCCTCCCAACGTGAAAGGCGCTATACAAATGTAATCTTGTTGTTGTTGTTGTTGTTGTCTCGGAGATATCTATCCTATATTTTCCCATTGCAACATCAAGCTGTTTATTAAATTAGTTCAGTGTCCAGTGCTCAATCATGCTTCCTGGTAACCTGTTTCAGTCACTAATTACCCTTTGGATGAAGAAGTACTTCCTGATATCTGACCAGAAGTTGTCCTTTGCCTCTCTAAACCAATGTCCTCTAGTTCTGCCGCGTTTTTGTATCTGAAAGTATGATTTTACATTTATTTTCTCAGTATCATTTAAATATTATGCATCTCTATCAGTTCCCCTTGTCTCTTTTCAAGACTGACGAGCCCTGTAATGTTTCTAATAGCCAATTCCTTAAAACCTTGCTGTCCTCTCCAATGCCTCAAGGCCTGGGAAGGGGCACAGGGGCCAGAATGGTACCCAGTAATCCAGGTGCAACCTGACCAGAGCTCACTTTACAGCTTGAGCGATTCAACATTATACACCTTGAAATCTATGTTTTAATCAAACATGTGTAAGATCCACTCTAGCTCTTGGCCATCTGGTTACTCATAGGCTGTGCCAATAGAAAATTGCGCGCATACTTTCACCACATGTTCCGCTACAAACCTGCTACAAATAGCCCTCGGGCACTAACCTTTACACACAGTGAGCTAGGTCCCAGGCCTCTCACGCTGTTTGCTCAACTCTACTATTATTGCCGGAGTGGCTTCAATCGCGCAGGTGCAGTGAATTTTGGGATAGCTGAAGCAGAGTATGCGGGAAATCAACTTCGCTAGTGAGTAAACCTCGATAGGAAAAACAGCTGCGTCACACTACTGTACTGCGACAAATTCTTGGTAAGTGCTGTACTATTCAAATTAAAATATTTAGCATTTTAAACATAACTACATTTTCAGGAAATATGTACCTATAGTTTTAATCAGGTTTGTTTCACTTTTTAGGTTGTTCAATACAAAAATGTCCAAACGTTTTTGTAAATCCCGTGAGGAAACCAAGGGGCAGCTCGTCTCATTTTCCGTCCGTCCCTCAGATAGAACTGTACTCTATCCAGATAACCTTTATGAAGAAGGGGGCAGATGCTTTGCCGCGTTCACTGTCACACAATTGACCAACAACAACAACACATTTTTATTGCGCTTTTCAAATCGGGAGGACATCCCAAGACGATGGACAGACAGAGTTTCGGACCTGAGCTGAGGGTCGGAGTGAGGGAGGTGGGAGGGCAGGGGAAAGCAGGGAGATCAAAGCACGGTCGAAGAGGAGGGTATTAAGGTGGGTCTTGAAGATAGCGAAGGAAGGGGCAAAACGGAGGGATTACGGGATGGAGTTCCAGAGGGTGGGTGCACCCTGTTCACATTGATGAACACATGAAATCTTGGAAGCATTGTGAACGCAAGGCAGTGGCAATGAAGAAAAAAATGAAGGTAAAATACTTTTGATATATATAATATTAAATGAAAATGTATCATTATTTGCTTTCACTTTAATTTTTAAAAATTGCATGATTACAAAAGTTAATATCCCTCCTTTTTGATTGAATTTTAAAAGCACATAAAACAACCACAGCAAACAAAAACAAATAGCAGAACATTTCTAACGACAAAGGCATCATGAAGATCAATTTTTATTTTTTCCTTTGTAGGTGGATCTCAAAGACAACCTGCTCCTACAACCTGCTTCTCTGGAGCCATTGCATCATCTATGGAGAGCAAATAATTCATATTGGACTTTGTGCGGTGTTTGACTAGAGCAGACAAACCATTTAAAAAAGCTCCTGCCTTCCAAGAGTACATGACACAGCTCCGTAATACGTACTTGAATGAGCTTATTCCTGAGAATGAAATGTAGGTTAGCAACAAAATGCGTCTCAATAACACCAACCAACCCTCCCCAATCCCTTGCGCAATTCAGCAAATACTTCCTGCAATTTTTCAAAGCGCTCCACAATTTTTTTGCAAATATTTCCACACTTTTCTAATGGCCCAGCTGATAGGTGCAAACATGTTGATCTTTGGGACAATTGCATTTTAGCAGACGGATCTCTTGCAGAACCTAGTTAGTTACCTTTTGCAGTAAAGACTGTACAAAACCTCATATTTGCGACAATCACACTTAAAAGTGTTTTGGAGTTACTGTCAAAATAGCTGCAAATTAATCATTTGATAAAACAGATCAAGTTCACTCGTAATATTTTGAATTTAAAATGTTTCAACTTTTCTTTGAAATGCTCCTGTTGCATTTTTTTAAAAAAATACAAAAGCTGCAAAATAGTTTAATAAGTTGTTTCAAGATCTAAAGATTAATTATCAACACTTGAGAACTGACTTGTCACTGCATATCTCATTTGAGTGCCAGCCTGTTGTGGGAAACCGGGAAGTAAAGAGGAATATCCAGCACATGTCAGCATATGGAGATCAATTTGTGTGATAAATAAAAATGCTAATTTGTATTGGAGACTACTCAAATAAGAAATGTTGTATAAATGTGATTTAGGATTACAAATATACATGTTAATGATGTCCCCTGGAGAGGTCCTTTAAGATATATGTATATCAAAGTACTCCAAGAGAAGGACTGATATTTTAATCCTAAATAAAACAATGACAAGATAGCCTTGTGTCTGTCGTAAACTGCAATTTATGCTTGTAATTGATTGCTGAATTGTTAACCAGGACTGTATACTGGAAAGCAGCAGAGTCATTGTCTTCTGAACTGTTTAAATATCAGTTTTCTGCATGATACAGTATTGATTTGTTGCATCCTGCTGAAAACCCCATGTGTGCTATTACTTATCCAGTTGAAACTCTGATACTGAGGAAATTCGATATTTATAACTGATATGGGTGAATGGTTTCTTTGTTCCTTTTCAGAAGAAAAGTGAGAATGTGATTTTGCATGTGTGTGTTGTGTGGGGGCTGTGTGTGGGTGCAACGGGTCAAATAAAAGAACGATGAAAACCAAGGATTTGTCCTGAAGAACCGTAACGTAACATATTATTTAGATTTCTGTCAGAGTGACCGAATTAGTCAATTTTATGAGTGGAAATCTGAATCATGTTTTATAACCACCTGTAGCTTTTTTATGCACCCACGCTTTTAAAATACCAAAATTATTATTAAAGTATTGATGTGGTCTTATTCTATTGCTTTGTTACCATATATGTTATCTTAGTGACTCATGGAAGTTATGCCGCAAACTGTAAATTGTAGAGTATTGTAATTCAGGTACAATAACAAAACATGGTTGCACAAAAGGGAAATGCGGCCTTCATAGACACTTTCAAGCCATCTCGCAGACATTCCAGACTTAATCCCACAAGTGACTAATTACAATATAAATCTGGAAATCTGAAAACAATACATTGGAGCTTTGTTCGAATGCCTTGGTTGGGTCCATAAAACCCACCCCCCAGTAGGTGACTGGCTTCTGTGCTAAAGAAATGCCCAAATTCTGGGTCATCAAGTCGCATCCGATGTCACCTCCTGGTGCTGTCACATAGATGGCACTCCAGAAGTGACGTTGACAGCATGGTAACCAGCTGGCACACGGGAAACAAGCCAGCCAGCTGCACACGAGCACAGTGAAGAGCGTCCACAATCCATTCACGTTATAAATGAACCAACGTTATAATGAAGCACATTATTATGGATTTACACTGTATTTCCAAAGTTGTTGGCTAAACTCGTGTTTGTTTTTGATCATTAAGTTGTGGTGCTAAAGGAATTGGCTACATCAATCCATTACTACTTAAAACTTTCCTCTGTTCTCTTCTAGAGCTGGACGGCCACTGAAACATCCCAGGGTAAAGGAGGTGGAAATAGAGAATAAGACCACCTGGCAAGATGAAAGCAAAGGTAATGGAGTTTATAGAATTCTCATGAGTATCATTGAATCAGACAAAATGTGAAAAATCAAAATTATTGTACAATACTTCCCTAAATAAATATTCTCAATGGGGTTTTAGCCGCATTGGAAGATCTCAAGCTACACCAAAGGCAGCTCTGAAGAACATTTCTCAGTAAAAGAAGATCTATTTCGTGGTTCAGTTAAATACATTCTTTTGAGGTCTGTCCTGGTTATCGCAAAGCCTTTCTTCAAAATCATTGCCAGTGTTCAGGCCAAATGTCCCCGGTGTCTGTGAAAGGGAGAAAAGATGATTGTTTCCTGCACAATCAACAAACACTGCGCCTTCTACATATCCCCCCACTGTCTACTCCCCTGTAAAGCAAAGGGGGTTTTCAGCCATTCTGGCGCTATTCTCTAGAAGTCTATCCTGGAGTCCTTCCAACTCATTCCCTTGAGATGAGAGACTGCAATTCACTTTCACAAAGGACCTATTGCAGAGTTGGTGGGAATGTTTAAGAGGCAAGTAGATAAAAATACCTGGCGAACAAGAGTATGAGAGGGTATGGAGAAAAGGTAGACACATGGTACTGAGTTAGAGATCATCCATGATGTAAGAAAATGGGCTGCTTGGCCTACTTCTGTTCCTATGTTTAGTGTATGGAGTTATAGGTCATCCAAAAAGCTGGATATTGAACATCTATCTGATTTTTAATAAGTGCAACTCTTGGTTTCTATTTTTGAAACAATTTTTATACATGTGACAAAGGTTTAATCTCTTATGTTCATTAGTACATTTTTTGACAAGCTGGTGCAGTTACTCCCAAAACACTTATATTACATAAATGAGTGTTATAATTCAGGATAATTAAAGACTGCCAACATTTCAACATTTATTTTTGAAATAAAACAAATTTTCTTGGGTTTGAAGACACGTTTCAGAGAAGTTTACATAGCTTGCACTACACGGGGAGATCTAGAAGTCTTTGTGTTTATGGTGACCTTGAAATGCTCTGACAGTCTGTTAATAGTTATTGAATATAATCTTTCCTTGTTCAACCTTCCAACACAATATGTGTTGTCCACAGAAAATGAGGATTTCAGTTTACAGCAGGCTCTGCACCAGTCAGTGTTTCTGTCCTCGGTGTCTCCTGTGCCAAGCCTGCCTCTCTGTTGGGAGCAGCACAGCAAACTTCTTCCTGGGGTTGCTGGAATCACCGCCAGGAAAGTAGTAAAATGGACTATTAATGAGGTATGTACCAAACAACCAAAGTCACAAATAATATTCTCTCCATCTGTGACCAGGGCTCTCTCTGCCTCCTCGTCATTCATGAACGCTCCACTGCCGGCCGATCGGAGGCAGTGGGGGGGTGAGCAAGTCGGAAAGGTAGGGAGGTGCATGAAGGGATTTAAAAATGAGTGAGAGGATCTTGAAGTTGATCAGTTCAGTAATTGGGAGCCAGTGCAGCCTGGCAAGGACTGGTGTGATGGGGTCTAGAGTTTTGTGCAGATTAGTATCGGTCGGTGGAGTTCTGAGATAATTGTATTTTATGTATGGTGGAACTATAGAGGCCAGCGAGGAGGGCATTTGAAATGTTTTAGACATCCTCATGACAAGAAATGCAGTATACCAAATGCAAGGATTATTATAATGCAAATTAATAATGTCCTGTGTGGATGCTATTTGGATGGGAGCCATACTTTTCAATTTACTGGTTATTATCAGTTTTGCAGGTTTTAATTATTTATTGTGAAAGTAATACAGTTCTGATATCATTTGCAGGTCTCTGAATTTATACTGAGTTTGCCTGGTTGTGAAGAACAAGCCAAAGCATTTAGGGAGGAGGTAAGTTCAAAATGTAAAAGTGGAATAGGTGATGATTTTAAAATTCCCGGCAGAGCAAAATATTAGGTACGTCTCCTTACTCCACACACCTCTATTTACCTGCAGTAAGTAGGAATCCAATTGTTAGTTGATTGGCAGATTGCTTTTCCAGGGGTAATAACCCCTTCAAAAAAATGTTAAAAAATAATTTGGTCAGTTAATCCACGACTATTTGTGGGACACTGCTGTGTGCAATTAGCTGCCGAGTTTCACCCACAAAATACACTGCACTTTTCAATATATTCTGTGAAGCGGTTTGAGACATCCAGAAGACGTGATAGGGCTCTATATCAAATGCAAGGATTATTTTATATATATATATATGTATATATATATAAAATGAAAGCTATAACAAGCTGCAAGTTCTATCTGCAGGACATTGGTGTATTACTTTGGAAAGTCATGAATATAAATTCAATGGGACACTACTATTTTGATAATGATTGGTACTTTTTTATAGTTCCTGTTGCATGAATAATCCACTGGAGATTTGCAATATTGGATTTGAATTTGCATTATGCATTAAATTCATTTTGCCATTTAGTGTGCAGGGCTTGAATATGGCTAAGTTTGTATTCTGAAATCCAGCAAAGTGTGAAAAGTGGCCAGAAAGTGATCTTGGTTTATTATTTCAGCTGCCATGCTGTTTTTAGACCTTTTTTCAACCAAGAAAAGTAAAACATCCAATGAATAGGCTAGATACCAATGCACAGGTCTGGTTTTACCAGCTTTTGGTGTTCCAAAGACAACAATTTTAATTTCAAAATTGTGAGTCCCATTTAGCTACCACAATACTCAATACTCTTAACCACTCACCTTGCAAGCGAGAGACCTTGGTTCTATTCCTGGCAGGACAAAATGTTGGGCAAGTTTCCTTATACCACATGCCTCTGTTTAACCTAGTAATAAGTAGGAGCCCACTTGTTAGTCAATTGGCGGATCGCTTTTCCAGGGATAATAATCCTTCAAAAAAAAACAATAAAAAATTACGACTCTTTGTGGGACACTGCTGTGCACAATTGGCTACTGTGTTTCACCCACAAAATATACAGTCAATTCACGTTACAGTATATTCTGTGAAGCGCTTTGAAATGTCTAGAAGACGTGAAAAGCGCTATATCAAATGCAAGGATTATTCTATAAAATATAGGGTCTCATCAGCTTTCTTCACAGCTTTGTCTACGTGCTCAGCCACCTTTAGATTTACATGTTAACTTCATACAGAAATAGAGTTGCAAGTATCCAGTTTATGAGTATCATATTTTATACTCCAAATTCATTCAGGTCAGATGTTAAAGTTCTGTCTTCCAGTTCAAGTGGGTGTTAAAAATCCCGTGACATTATTCAAACAGAGCAGATTTCTTTCCAGTGCCCCTACCAACCCATCAGATAAATGGATCATTTAGTTTGTGGTACCTTGCCGTGCACACATTAGCTGTGCACATTTTACCTACGCTTGAGAGCAATTACCTGTGAAGCATTTGAACACGTTTTAACAATAGATGCCCTATATAGGTTAATTATTTTTGTATCACCTTCATATTGTATTGCATGCTATTTTGGATTAAGTACCGAGTATTAAAATTCCAGTGTGATATGAAGGCAATTACTCTTCGATTTCAGTCAATATAATAACTTTTAGTGAATGGTATAGTGCATCTGTGTGGCCTCGCAATGGGATTTATGAAAACATTTGTAAAGATCAACACAACAACAATTTTACATTTATTATATAATAAATGCATTCACAAGTAAAAATAGCTCTAAAATGTATCACCTGATGGTCTTCTGTGCCGTAACTTTCTATGGTTCTTTAGTATGACACATCATTGCTGGAGCAAGTTGCTTCTGCCTGCAGGAAAATGTGTTGTATTCAGTGAATTTACATACTTATTGTTTTGTGTAGAGGCTTATGAAAATTTGCAAAACTAATTCTTTCCCAAAATAGTGAATGACAGATTTAGCAATTTTTTATATTTATTGTTTTGACTGTTGTGAGTCCTGGAGATAAACAATAATCCTGGGACTCATAAAGGAAATGGAATTCAATCTTCATAATTTTCAGGGGAATTTTCAAATGTAAGCTCTATATATAATATATATATTCCCTTGTTCTGAGAGCCTTGATAAAACAGCTTTAAAATTGAAATCGTATTTAAGAATTTTCAAATTTTAAGGCACAAGAGAGGATTGAAGAGTCTTTAGCCCATTTCATCTCATTCTTCCAGAATAACCATTCTACCATCTATTCATTTTCAGTATCAAGTAATTGCTTAAATGAGTTCGATGTACTGGCCTCAACCATATTTCCTGGTGACTCATTTCAGTCATTAATTGCCCTTTATATAGAGGTAAGCGGGATCTCAGGGAATAAACTGTCTCCAAGCCTGGCAATGGAATATTGGAATCAAGTCAGAGCTTCTGGGGAAGTCTCATTAGTCCATTTCCTGAGCCGGCCAGGTATATAGTGCTCCAAGCATTGCTGATGACAGACCAGTCAACGGGGTTCATCAACAGAAGTTGGAGAAGCAGATTGGGAGAAAACTACTATCTGTCTTAATCCCTCTGATAAACATGAAAAGTAAAACCCTAATGGTTCAGGTGATTCTTCCTAGATAAGCCGCAGGAAACTTGCCAGTTGATTTTCGAAATGGCAAGTTGTGTGGTTTCAGTGTGTATCAGACACCTGGCTGATAAACATACTCAAAACAAAAATACTTCCCGGTATCTCTTCTGAAATTGCCTCTAAACTTCGAAGCTATTGCAGTGCTATCTAAAATTAAAATGTGAGACTCAATTATTTCCATGAGTGTACGCGAGTTAAAAAGAGGGGCATTATTCCAGTGTGACGCATCTCATTGTTCAGACCTTGTTGGGGGGAGAATTATTGTCCTCTAATTTTACTGTCTTTTACAACTGTAGCACAAATTGCTCAGTCCATATTTACTGACAGGCTGTGAATAATTTGCTGTCCAGCAATATTGGTAAATTTATCCAGAAGCAGAGAATCACTCCTTTTGTCTCTGAGCGATTGTTCAAAATGTAGTACATAGCTAATTTGCAAGGTTCCATTACATTTTGGATTGGTTTGACATGAACACAAAGGAAAGTATGCATTCATACTAAATGGGGAGGATTGGAAATACGTAGTCGGTTTTCCTTCTGTACAGAAGCTATTACAGACACCAGCTATTGTGCAAACGCAAAACCATAAAACTCATTGCATCTAAAATTAGGGACACAAATTTAAAGTGCAAATGATCTTTGTAATTTGCATATAAATGTGATAATTACCAACATGAAGATGAGGTAGTTAATAATTAATCGTGGCCTTGTCTAATTTACATGATGCATTGCAGCTAATTTGTGTTGTTGTCTGTCAAATACTTTGGCAAGCAACCTATCAATGTAATCAGCTTCATCTTGCAGTGTGAACAATCAGCTTCATTTTACAGTGTGTATAATCTGCCTCAATAAGAAATGGATACAGGTTGTTAAATGCTATATTTATCAAGTCTTTATAGTTCACCCTCAAAAAAGATGTTGCTTTATGCTAGGTAAGAGGTAATTGAGTTATGACAGGCACCAACACAGGTTATTATTATTATTATCCAGTAGTGAGGTTTGACACTTGACAGGCCATTCTGAATACATTGTACACTGTAGGTGTAAAGTCTAAACTGCTTCTGAATGACAGCAGAATATCAGCCTCAGATACTCGCTTAATTCCACTCCACACATTTTTAAAATTTATACGAGAGTATTCACAATATTTTTTAGGATTATTTTCACACAATTATTTTACCTCACATTGTGACAAATGTGAGAGTCCATGCAGCAGAGCTGGCACGACATAGCTTGAATGGTAATGTCGTTGTAGAGATGATGTTCTGATTGCCGATCTTGGCAGATGCCAATCTTCTTAAACCCTACCAACCTGCCTGGTCTCGCCACCATCTGTAGTCAGGGTTTCAGCCTATCTGCCCCCACTTTCTGAAATGCCATCCCAGAGATCCTTGGCCTCGCCTCTTCCCTTGCCTCTTTCAAAGTCCGTCTCAAGACCTTCCTCTATGAACCTCACCATTGCATATATCCAAATAGGCCCCTCAAAAATCATATATAAAATATACACTATAAAACTTGGATACTCTTAAGTATGGTCATGGGTTTCCGCCTGTGTCAGACTCCCGATTAATCAAAATAAAAATAGCCATGAAGTGAATGGTCAATTTTGTGTGGGGGATGATAATAGATGTTGATTAAATTACTAGTAATGTAAATAGTCTCAAGACAACTGGGGAGAAAGGGAATAGAAGGATATAGTGAGTAGAGTAAGGTGTGGTTAAGATCAATTATAAAGGGGCAAGTTTGTTGCACCAAACGCTGTTTCTTCTGTCTCTTGTGGCCTCTGGATTCCTGAACCTTCACTCCCTTCAGGCATGATCTTAATAATAATAACCATCATCCTTGCATTTGGTATAGAGCCTTATCACATCGGGAGGTCATTTCAAAGTGCTTCACAGGATTTACTATGAAATGGAGTAAATGCAGGTCAACGCAGCAGCACAATTGTGCGTAGAGAATTGCTTCCTAATTATTTTTGTAATACAGTAGTGTACTTAAAATGTAATGTACACATTTATAAATGCATTTGCTGCAATAATTGAAACCAGAGAATTTACTGTAATCAGATTAAAAATCTAAATATTATGTATCATAATTCAGACATAGTGTGCCCCTAATGCCTTATCTATCTGGAGATTTTCATTAGGCTGGAGATATGTTATTTTTCAGTATCCTATTGATGTCAGTCACTGATGCACACTAGTATAATGAACATAGTCTCCAAGGTACAGAAGGCCCTGTTTCCCCAGTTACAGCTGTATAAATAGACACAATTGTTGAAAGAAAACAATTTCTAATCAAACAGCTGTCACCCATAAAGCAAGCAGCAATCTAAAGCCAATGTAATACCACATCCATCGCTCTACACCAAGGATTCACTGAACTGCAACATCCTGTTTTCTAAGCTCTTACAAATTCTTCTTTTATTCTACTCTCATTACAGCTGTGCTAGCCTAATTATTATGAGTTAATAAATAAATGTCAGCTTCCCTGCCTTCTCCTAGTGTTTCATGTAATAATAATGATAAATAATAATCCTTGCATTTGATATAGTGCTTTTTACATCTTCTAGACATCTCAAAGCGCTTCCTGTATTGCTTCATGGGCACATCCTGTTCATGCATGTAATTCTAGGATGGGCATTGCTCTCACTAAATCACTAAAAATCCAGTTCATCTATCATATTTCAGACTTAGTGTGCCTGTAATGCTTTATCTGGAGTCCTGTAGCTTCATGGTTAGAGCACTCGCCTCGCATGCAAGAGGACCTAGGTTTGATTCCCGGCAGGGCGAAATGTTGGGCAGGTTTTGCTTACTCCACATGCCTCTGTTTACCTAGCAGTAAGTTGGAACCCGATTGTTAGTCAATTGGCGGATCACTTTTCCTGGGGTAATAATCCTTTCCAAAAGCAAATAATAATAATTAATAATCCGGTCACTCAATTCACGACTGTTTGTGGGACACTACTGTGTGCAATTCGCTGCCGCGTTTCTCCCACAAAATATACAGTGAATTAAGTTTACAGTATATGAAGCGTTTGAGACATCTTGAAGACGTGATAACTCACTATATCAAATGCAAGTATTATTATCTATCTGGAGATTTTCATTAGGCTGGAGATGTTATTTATCAGTATCACTATTCAGTATCCAATTGTGCTGCTGTGGCAGTGAGTGACCAAATTATTATTATTTTTTGAAGGGAATATTACCCTTGGAAAAGCGATCCGCCAATCGACTAACAACTGCTTATGTTACTGTACTGTACTTAACTTAAACAAGTTGTAATAAATAAACTGACAGTGCTGGGGGAGAGGGCTGCTCTGTCGCACTGACAGCTTTTCGCTCTGCGCAGGCGCAGTGTGTGGTTGTGTGGATGGATCCTCCTTGCCACATCACCCCTAGTGGCCCCGGACGACTCAAGCATACAGTCAGCCTGGATATAGAGTCACTGAGATCTTTTCTCTTGGATTGATGATATATCAGGAGTTCACTGTATTTCTAGACGTGTGCACTCAGTAGTTAGTCATATAAATGACAATCAGAATCAGGGACCTTGTCTGACATAACATATCAATGAATTTCAGTTAATTTTGTCAAAATATAGACGTCTGGCCAGTATGCCACATTTTGTGGAGATCTGAAACTATGTCCCGGACTCTATGGTGACCATTTTTTGTCTCAGAAATCCCCTCTTCTCTGTCAACGTCACTACATCTCTGCTTCACCACTCCTTAAACTTTGGTAACCCAACCAAAACTGGAAACTTATTGTGTTGATAATTGTGGTCATTTAATAGCATAGCATGTTGTTTCATTATTCACATTATTCTGGGGCCAAATTGGCCAAGTGCCTGTAATATTTAAAGTACCATTTCACCTCTTAGACTTTCTTAGCTCTTTAAAACTAGATGTCAAGTCAGTCCACCAAAATAGACAGCTTAATATCTACATTAGAAGTGCATTGCTCTGGGTAAAGTTTATTTACTTTGCAAAAATATTTGTCAAACAATTGTGTGTATGTGTGTGTCTGTCTGTGTCTATGATTGTGTGTGTTTCTGTCTGTTTGTTTCTGTGTGTCTGTGTGTTGGTGGTGGGAGGCAGATGATGGTGGGAGAGAAAGAGTTAACAAGTATTTCTGTATATTTCTGTCCTTTGCGTACAAAATCGAATTCACGGATTTTTAAATCGCAAATAAAAGTAGAGAGAAATGAGTTTAAAATAATAATGTGGCTGCTCAAACCATGACAGTTTATGGGGCGTCGCTGTGTGCAATTGGCTTTCGCCGACAAAACACATGGTCACTACACTTTGCAGTATATTCTGTGAAGCGTTTTGAGACGTCTCGAAGACGTGATAAGGCATTATATCAAACACAAGGATTATTATTATTATTAATTCACAATTCTTATGCTTTTATGACCCAGGTGAATGTTGGAGCTCAGGGCACCAAGTCCAAGTTTGACTGGACTAATGTGCAGACAACAAATGCAATCATTCTAAAGTTTAATGTAGCACTTTATTGACAGTGACCTGGTTAATACAGCAGTTTAAGTTGTATGAATAATTTCTTGCTCTTAACTAACTGTTCACAACTGTTTGTGTCATTAACATTGGATTTGCACCACTTATCTGTACAATTGAATACAAACAAACTGTTCTGATTTAGCTAAATAGTTCTCTAAACCAAATCTTGGGTCAATTATTGTAACCTTATTAGAAGATCTGAGGCCCCAAATTTAGGCTTCAGATTAATTCTTTTGAAGAAAAATTAAAAACAAATTTAATTGTTTAAGACTTTTCTAAAAGAATTATTATTAATATATCAAATGCAAGGATTATTATTATAGAGTAAGTGAATGACGCATACAATGAAAGGTAGTTTCTTACAAGGAGTCATGGTTGTGCAATCTTAGACACGTAACATTACAGTGTACCTGTAACACAGAAGGAGTGAAATTACAGGGTCGGAATTATGTTCTCATAAATGATTGCAAATTACAGGCTATAATTTTAAATTTTAAAGAAAATTGTCAGTGAATAAAATGCTTTTACAGTTTAATAATGTGATCCATTAGTCAGTGGGTAGTGTCACTGCATTGGTATCTTGTATGATTAAGCTCAGAAAGAAAGAATAATTACTATTGGCATTACTCCTTTATGCTCTGGATCCAGATTGAACATATATATTTCAACTCTTATTTTTCTTTAGCAAATTGATGGAGAAGCATTTCTACTACTGACACAAACGGACATTGTGAAAATAATGAGCATTAAATTGGGACCAGCTCTGAAAATCTACAATTCCATCCTCATGTTTAAGACGGCAGAGGAGAATGGACAGAATGAGCTTTGAAAAGACTGAAACTACAGCACTGTGCCTGTAGACACCTGTTTGTATGTTGAGGCTCATCTCTAATTCAAAGCACAAGAACTATCTATTGAAAATGGAACTCTATAAGGCTATAGGTCAAAACTACTGGAATATTTACTGTTGACTTGACGGATGCGCTTGGAGAACTTCAGCTTCCAGCAGTACCAAGCTATGGGCTCATCTTTCATCCATTTCCTCAGGACTTGATTATGCAAAAACTTCCCAGCGAAAGCTGACGTGGACTTTCTGTGATTGAACTTCAAATTGTATATTTAAATGTTGCTAAGGAGGTTCTTCTAAGACCTGGACGCTTGATCTAATGGACACTAAAATGTCTTGATTGTTCTCATTGTTTGATTTCCCTTCCTTCATTTGTAATGGAATGATTTGTTTTATGATATTGTGTATACAATGTTCCCATGTCGCAGCAGTATCCAAGAAGGGCAAATTTCATTGTCCAGGAGAGTGAAATTTATACATGGAAATATATATTGAAAAGCCAGCATCATTGGACTTATTTAACTATTTGATTGTGTACATTTTTAATTTAATACCTGAAGTATTAATTTGCTTCTTAATTACTTCAGTAAAAACACACAGTTGAAATTCTCTGCTTTATTTGAATGTTTCTGGTTTATTAAATATTATGTTACAAATTGTTGATGCAATTATTTGGTGAGTGCATTTACACAGCAAAAGGTTGAGTGAACCACAGATGCAATTAAATAGTGTTACTGTAAAGTCATAGAGACAGGCTGTATTTTCTACTCATGAAGCATTCATCTTACAATAGTGCTTTAATGAATTTCCACTGAACCAGGGAGATTGTGTGTTCAATAAAAGAGTTTGCAGTACAACTAGAAAATTCTGCAAAAAGCACAACGGTTCTCTCAATATTCAAAGGGTCAAAAGTTAAATTAAAGTTTTGGGTACAACTTTACCAAAATTGGAACAAATATTTGTTTGGAAAAGACTGTGAAACATAAATCAGATTCTGTTCAAGAAAACATGTATATGGAAAGAGGCCCCAAGTTTCCTTTCTACTTTCTACATCCTTTCCCTGACCAGGATAGCTTTTTTTTTCCATCTCTGTCACATTGCCCACCTCCGTCCATACCTCACAACAAAGTCAGACGAATCCCATGTCTTTGTCAGTTCCCATCTGGACTATTCCAATGCCCTCCTTGCTGATCTCTCCAGCTCCACCATATACAAAATTCAATGAATTCAAAACTCCGCCGCCTGGATACGCACCCGCACGAAACTCCGTACCTCCATCACACCAGTCCTTGCCAGGCTCCACCAGCTCCCAATCACCGAACGGATTGATTTCAAAATCCTCTCACTCATCTTCAAATCACTTCTTGCTTACTTAGGTACCTCCCTACCTACCCGATCTGCTTACCCACCACCCGCTGCCCCCACTCAGCTGGTTTCCTCGTTCCCCTCCTTTCCACCATCGGTGCCCGTGCCTTCAGTCACTACGCCCCAACTCTGGATCTCTCTCCCTCAATCCCTGCTCTGCCCCCCCCCTCCCTCCCTACTTTAAAATCCTGCCTAAAGACCTTTTTGATTGTGCTTACAGTCACCTCCCTCTTCCCTTGACTCAATATCAAACTCTGCCACTATCAAGCATTCTGGGAAGCTACCCTGCGTGAAGTGAAGGGTGTTTTTTAATAAAGAATCCTGTTTGATATTGATGATAAGATTCCACCGTATTCATGTTTGGGTTGTCTGTCTGAAAAATGTGTCATTAATATTTCTTGATCTTGTTGAGGTCAAGAATCACATCTAATTACAATCCCAATTAAACAGCTAATGGATCATTAAATGACTGTAAGGTCCCCTGTGAACCTTAAAAGGAGCTTCTCGGTCTAGATAATCTAATGCTAGCCTGGCTCAGTTGGGAGAACACCAAGCCCTGGGTCAGAAGTTTGTGAGCTCAAATCCCACATTTGGACTATAATAATAATAATATAATAATAATCCATGCATTTGATATAGCGCCTTATCGCATCTTCAAGATGTCTCAAAGTGCTTCACAGAATATACTGTAAAGTGAATTGACTGTATATTTTGTGGGCAAAACGCAGCAGCCAATTGCGCACAGAAGTATCCCAGAAACATTCATGGATTGAAGTGACCAATTTATTAGGTTTTTTTAAGGAATTCTTACCCCCAGAAAAGCGATCCGCCAATCGTTTAACAACCGGTTCCTATTTACTGCTAGGTAAACAGAGTGTGTGGGGTAAGGAAATTTGCCCAACATTTCGCCTTGCTGGGAATCGAACCCAGGTCTCTCACTTGCGAGGCGAGTGCTCTAACCACTGAACTTAGGATCTTTAACATCCATCTCAAAAACAACCTTATCGCCAATTCCAGGGATAGTTTAGGCTAAAGTCAGTGCTAAAGAAGTGCCATATTGTCAGAGATGTCATCCTTCACATGAGGCCCCCGGTTTGTTTTTGAGATGGATGTTATAGATCTTATGGCACTTTTCAAAAAGTGAAGGAAGTTTTGCCCAATTTCCTGGCCAACAATCCTTAAGAATAAATTAGTCATTCACACTATGCCTGTTGTGGAGACCTGCTGTACACAACATGGCACACAATAATTATTCTAAAGTATTTATTAACTTTTATTTTTTTGACTGCACAGACACTACCCTTCACAATAAAAAATTGTGAAGCATTTTGAGATGTCTCAATTTTTAAGGTGTTGTAACACACAAGTTCCTTCCTCGAGTTCTCACCCAAAATGAATCTTTTCTAACATTTTATGTTTTAATCTCAGAATTCCAGTATCCACAGCAATTCTTCATGGTTTCAAGTTTACAGTGGAGGTTTCTTTGCAACAGTGTCTTAAGGGGATTATTTTATTAGGAAAACCACTCTCAATGCAATCAGCTTCTGGAGCAGAGCTCCTATGGGTCAGCGTGACCTACTTCTGGATAACGAAAAAATCTGCACTCAAGATTCTTACTGAAGAATCCTGTTTGGAATTGCCGACAAATTCCACTGTATTCATGTTTGGTTTGTCTATTTGAAAAATGTGTGCTTACAGCAGTCATCTAATATTTCTCTTGATTGTACTGCAGAGCGTGAAAACAGAACGTATGGTTTTGTTTAGCCCCATTAAGATTAATATAATACAAATTTATATTTATATAGTGCCTTTCGTCAGCATGATGTCCCAAAGCACCTAACAGTACTAGCTAGTCACCCGAGCTGTGACTGGGACCCAAGGGGAGCATGAGGGGAAAGGTGACCGAAACCTGATGCTTGCTTCGCAAAGGAATCAGTGGGATCAGTAGGTTTGAGAAAGTCACAGAGATAGGGTGGGGCACAAATGTTGAGGGATTAAAGATTGAGACTGAGGATCTTGAACTATCCACCGGGGATGGGGAGCTAGAGGAGATGTTTGAGGTTGTGGGTGATAGGCCCATGGAGCCTGTTGCAATGAACAACAGGAATTTGTAACAAGTGTTAAGGAATTTTATCTTTGGAATTTCATCCTCAGAAGGCTGTGTCAGAGTCCCTCTGCTTCCTGTGACGTGACTCCCAATATCAAAGTCCCCATTTTTGTGTTTCGGATTTCTTATTTGGCATTCCAAGTAAGAAATACTGCAATTTAAACTCCATTGTTGCCAATTTCTTAATGTGTTCCTTTAAATAGCATAGGAATGGAAAAAATATGCAGAACGATGAGAAGTCTCATTTTTTAAAGCAAATAAGGGATTATTTTGTTCCATGTGCTCTAGCCAATGCATTCACTGATGTGGGTTAAATGCTACTTTTTACTCAATACATATTGCAAATTTCTCATTGAGCATCTACTAATAGCCTTTTCAACGTATGCATAACAAATTAAATATACAAAAATCATGCTTCTAAAATTTCATCTATAATTTCACAGTGCAAAATCACAAAACCAATCAAATGTCAAACAGAGTTTAGCTCTGATGCATAAAACAAATAACTCCCATAATAATAATCCTTGCATTTGATACAGCGCCTTATCACATCTTCAAGACGTGTTAAAGCACATCACAGAATATACTGTAAAGTGAATGGACTGTGTATTTTGTGGGCGAAACGCAGCAGCCAATTGCGCACAGCAGTGTCCCACAAACAATCGTTGATTGAGTGACCAAATTGTTATTATATAAAGATATTTGATGCCAAATGCATAATGCTACTTCCATAAGGGGCAATGTAACTTTGACGAGTTCTCTCATTACTGCAAATGCTCAATTATACTTTTAAGCCCATAGCTTTACTTTGAGGTTGCATTCAAGGCCCTAAGGTTTGACTGCACTGGATTAGTGCAGCTGCTTCAGGCAAAGGCTATGGCCCAAGAGAATAGTAAGTTTTGATGCAGAATAAACAGCCTTGTAAAAGATTTAATGTGTACTGCACAAGGGGATTTAACGTGACGTGATTATATCACAATGAGACTCACTGCATCACACTGGATATATGGCAAGTACTTTACATCTCTGGAGCATTTAAACCCTGACCTCCACGGTGTTCAGAACAGGCCCATTTAGTTCCGATATTAACGTAATCTTTTTACTTGTTTTAGGGATCCCTTCATTCACAAACTAAAAAGTGGTCTTAATTTACAAAATTCAAAAGACACATTGAATAGGAAGTATGCAGGTGTGCCCCCTTGTTCTCAATGACAAAATGACGAAAGTGGGTTGCACATTCGAGTACTGGAGTGCAGTTTTCGACCTTCAGTTAGCCTTCTCGCAGTTACTGGCTAAATAAAATATTTAAGAGTAAAGACACTATTCTGCTAGCTGGGAGTCAAAGACATGCGTCAGAGGTCAAATTCATAGCCTGGCTTCACAGACATCAGCAGAACAGTGCAACGATGGTGGGGGGAGGAATCCACCTCTGATACAACTAGGATGATCCCTATTCAGATATTTCTAGATCCAATCCACATGTTAGAACCCAATCTTTTGTGGTCCCTACTAGCTTTTAAACCAAGCAACAAGTTAAATATTAACAAATCGTAAAATACTGCAGATGCTGAAAATCTGAAAACAAAAGCAGAAGTAAAATATATATAAGATGGATCCAGTGTTGAGCAGTGAGTTCCCTTTGTGATATAATCCCCTACCAGTGCACTTGTTATTTTATACTAAGAAATCTGAATTAGCTCTCAGTAAACTCAATGATTACATGAATCAGTGTGGACATCATTGCACACCAACTGCTTGAGCGTGCTGGCTGTCAGCACTGACCCCCACACTCAGCAATAAGAAAAGTTAAATGGAATAAATGTCCCATGAAACTCATAACTTTCATTGCTAAAAGCAGAGTAAGTGTAAGTGATATTAGTGACAACTGTAAACCCATCTCAACATTCAGAAGACACATTACAAATAGTTTTAAGTTTTACCCTTGACTGAATTTCCTAATGAGATCAACTGCTCTATAATAAATTTCAATCTAAGCTCTGGTTTACTGGTTCTACATAGTTTGATACCTGTGATCATTGGCATTGACAAAATACAGAGGCAAGCTAAATCAGTATCATAAATTAGTCCCAAGTCTATCAATGATGCTGGAGAACTCTCACAATTGTATAGACTTGCTAGTGAATCTCCAATACAGTGCTGGAGGAGTGGTGGGGTCCTTTTGATGAAATGCTAAGGTTCCATCTGCCTGTTTGGTGGACATTAA